GCTCCTCGAATGTCGGCACCGCCTGACCATAGCGGAAACGCTTTTACGACGGATTTTCCATCCAAATAACATGCACTATGTCTTCGGTGCGCGTAAACAAGCTAAGGACATGGAAAGAACCAATGCATGAACATCCACGAAGAGAAATGATCCCAACTTATACACCCAGCCCTTGCCCCACCAGCCACTACAGCGGCCTACAACCTGTCTTTCGAGCAGCTCTCGGGTGGCCATGTAAGTCTTCTGTCAGAAGGACTTGATTTCGCTTTTGCTCCACGCGTTGTCCCAAGAAGAGGTATTATAGCTGAAATCGAGACAGGCTGCGTCACTGCAAAGATAAGACGGGGATAAATCTAACAGGTAGCCCGATAACGACTATTTTAAACAACGCGAAAAAACCCTTGTCGAATTTGGACAAAAGAGAAGAGTCGTCTCTACAGTTCCTTAAATCAGATCAGCCAATCATTATTTTTCCGGTGGATAAAGAAAAGGGCACTGTTGTACTTGACAGGGAGGTTTATTATGAAAAGGTTACTTTGGTCCTTCAGAAGGTGGTTCATATTGTGAAGTTGCCTCGGGATCCAACTCTAAAATCTGAAAGGTCCCTTGTTCGTTTGAGAGATCTAAAAGAAAGGAGCGCCTTGACGAATGCATGTGCCGCCGCCTCTTTTCCCCTGACGATTTTACTCCTAAACTGTTTCGCCTCCCTACGGTACACAAACCCGAGTGCCCTATGCGACCAAATGTTTTGCTTATCGCTTCTCTTACTTACAACCTTTAAAAATACCAAATGGAGCTTCTTGTACCCTTAACGGGAAAAACATTATAACCGTTCGAAACTCTCGAGAATTTGTTGGCCTCATTTGAAACCATGTTCTTGACGAAAAACGCAATAGCTTCTTTTGATGTTGAATCCTTGTCTTCTAACATCCTGACCAGTGACCACTCTTGCAAAAGTTGTTACTGAACCTCGCCTGCAAAGTAACGTAACGCGTTCGTCACGGGTGTCACTGGCAGTTCAAGACATTTGAGGTTCTTGTTTAAATCACTCGCACTTGTCTCTCCGCGGGCAAATGTGTCACCAAACTGAAAGTTGACCCATAGATAGTCCGGTTTTAGTGGCCATGTCTAACCTCTTGATGGACGCGCGGAAGAAACAGCGTTTCAAGCAAATGTAAGCCCAGTTAAGTTATAACGGTTTTTCGTAGATGACACCTTTTGTTACTTTGAACCGCGATCAGGTAAATCTCTTCTACTCGAATTTGAAGAGCATTGAACCGTATATTCAATTCACATGTGAAGTAGAGCCCAACAACGCTTTACTTTCCTTTGGATCAAACTGTGTGCCGAGGAGACGGCGGTCTTGTAGAAACAACTGTTTACCTCAACCCCTGCAACAGTGGTAACATTTTGAGTTTTAGCTATCCCCACCCTTTGGAGCATAACTGGGCTGTTGTACAGATCTTAATGAACCAATCTGAGCACATACCTTTAACGCGTAATTACGCACATCTGAAAATGCAATTGTTGTTGAATCCCTCTTGAAACGTGGCTATACACGAATATTTATTGAAAGCTCGCGGAAATAGGTGCGCCAAGGCAGGAATAAAAAGTCAGATAACCAGAAATCTGGTGTCGTTGTCACTCCATACGTGAAAGGGGTCTCGGAATATATTTGCCACGCCCTCCTCCCTCTAGGCCAGGGGTCTCCAAACGTTTTGGCTAAGGGGCCGGATGGAGGCTCTCTCTTTGTCTTGAGGGCCGGAAACATAAATGGGCAGATGTAAATGAGAAAAATCTAAATAAATAATCCTAGATATCTAAGCATTTAAATATACAATACTTAAAGTTAGAGTAAACATGAAACAAAAAGGTTCTAAGATGGATGAATGCATTCACTTTGTTCTGAAATTTAATCATTTAGCTGCTTATGACATCACACAATAATTGGAGCTCAGAAAACATACCAGCAGCGGCGTAGACTTTCCATTTTCCCGGGGGGGGGGGGGGGGGGGGGGGGGGTTCTCCGCATTATTTTTTCGCCAGAACCCGTTGCCCCCCCCCCCCCCCCCCCCCCCCCCGCCATTGTCTATGCCTATGCATACCAGCATAAACCAGAGCGCATAGGAACTTTGGCACGTTCACACTGGGCAGAAGACTAGTGAGAACTATAGAAGTTATGCTGACAATATTTAATAGCTACGACACAGTACACCAAGCACAATTACATAGGCACGTAAATTAATTTTAACATACTTAGTTACCCAGATATAGATCAGGGGACTAGGAGTGTGGATTTTGCTAATCACAATGTCCAATTACTAATATGACCAGAGGACACGCCTTACGGTAGACAGTTTTCTCTCGTTTTTTTCTGGTAACTTCGTTTACGTGGTTGGTGCGCGCCGCGGCGCCCTTTTACACGCGCTTTTTTTTTCGCCAGTACAAGCGGGCGTGCTGGAAGCGGGCCGTCGGCCAGACTCCATTGGGAGGACTGCAGCCAGCCACGGGCCGGTCGGAAGACCTCCGCGGGCCGGATTTGGCCCGCGGGCCGCGCTTTGGAGACTCCTGCTCTAGGCGCACGAACAACTTTCAAGCAACGCCTCACGCTTCGTAACCTCATTTAAAGAGCAAAGGACCGAACCCCTCCAAAATCCCAGTGTGGTGTGGTGTATAAAGTGAACTGCCAGGATTGTGACTTATCCTACATGAGGCCGGCCGGAAACATAATACCTGCCTCAAAGAACACAAGAGGGGTGCTGAAACGACCACACATGCAGTGAGGTCCAAAACTGAACTAGCAGATCACTTCTGAAAAAGGGGTCACAGCTTTGATTATCACAGCGTAGTGATCTTAGCGCGAGAACAAAGATGGGGCCCAGAAAAGATTTTCAGAGTGTCGTGGTACATTTGTACTAACGAATCCACCTGCAATGCAAGCCGAGGCCTTCTTCTCGAAGGTTACGCGGATCTTATTAAATAGCGGTCTGGTGTTTACACTCCTCTCAACTGTATGTCTGAACATGCACTGATGATATCTCCTGCATGGGAGACGAAACGACTGATTAAATTGTTAGAATTGTTCAGTCAGGTCGGTGTAGTTTTCTTTATCATAAGTAGATCACAAGAACCCATTGAAGCTCTCGGTTTTTCTTCTGGTGTCTTGTTACAACGCCAAACTCGTAGTAGGATATGCTAGCTCAAGGCTTCTAAAAACCTTCAACGTTTTTTTTTTTTTTTTTTTTTTTTTTTGTTAAGCACTTTAAACTCCTGGTCGTTTTAATTATCCTCAAGATAGAACGTGCTATACGTTTCCCATGCGTCGTCTCAAAATCCTTTTAACAATGTTGCCGCCTGTACCGCCTTCGATTGGCGATTCAGTAATGTAGACGCGTGTTAAAAAAAAAAAAAAAAAAACTCAATGTATGTTTAGGTTTTATGGCTTTCCCTCAAGCATGCAGAAATATCTAGGAGCCCGAGGTGCGGCAGTATTACCGTCATGCCTTATGAGAGGAATTTCCTGGACGTGAATTTTGCTATTGCACTTCGCGCCAGGGCTCACAGATGTCAGTTATTGGAAGTAGTTCCACGAGCCAAGTACTACCTGCCACCGTAACTTCTGACACCATGCATCACTTCTGTATATTTATAGGTTAATGACAATTTTATTTGAGAAGCACAAACATTTATGTAAACGTATAGCGCGGCAGTGGCGAGCTTCTCGCTGAAAACAGACACCAAGAGGCACATGGCTCGCCTTGAAGTGTTCGCACAAAGTAAAAAGGATATAAAAAATAGAAATTAAACATTCAGCTCCCTAAAACAAGTGCAAGAGCCTATAATATAAGTCAGAGCATGACTACTCCTAAAGCAAAGTGTACAAATTGTTTGCCCAGGAAATAAACACTACGAAACATGATTAGAACTTCCAATGGCATGCCTGATCCTGCGTCTATCGAAGAACGCCATATCTGAAATTTAGGTGCAGAAATATGGACTCTATAGAGAAAAGTTCTAGCCTGGAAGAAGTATTTTCGCTGACATTAAATTTAAAAGAAATAATATACACTCCCGCAAAAAAAAGGTCCCAGAAAAGAGCGCTTACGGAAACGTCAGCATACCAAATGACTTCATACGAATATGACCGCGTGCCGAACGGTCCACACTAGATTATCTCAGGTCCAATTTCCTTAATAACTGATACTGTTTCTCCGAAAATATTAGTGGCGAAACGGCACAACCATAGGCAGCGTTTCTCCCGATTGAAGTGGACGCAAGGGATGGCGCGAAGGCGCGCACCCATTGCGTCGGAAACCAGGTTCCGATAAGATCATGTTTTCTTTGGTTAAATGAATTTATGTTTTGTTCGCCACGGTCGCGGCCATACCGCGTCAGTTTTCTTCTGCCAAATATTAAATTAAAAAAAAAATAAAAACAATAATCTTGAACGGACGAAAACGAACGTCTTGATACATTTAACTTGCCTGTAATAATGTTCTGAATGTCAAAGTGATAAATTCGTAACTTTTGGGATTAAAACCATTACCTCAATTTCACGGAGGATCGAACGTCTAGCGTCAAATTGCAGCTATACTAGATTATACGAAGTTCTTTGATTTCGATCGCAGCTACAGTCCTGGCAATGTAAGATAAAGTATTCGGCAAACAAAGGCATTATTTCGCGGAATCAATTTACGCATTCCTATTTGTGTTTTCAGAATTCTGTATGAACTTGAATTATACAATATCCGTAAGTAATAGACTGGACACAACAATATTAACCTGGCCAGAGGATGAATAAACACCGTAATTATTCTGCCGCGCCGGTCGCAATAATGCCTGGTCCTGTATTCATTATTATTATTGCGTTCTATTTATTTTTGATAAAATCAACATGATCTTCTTGATAAACTATTTCTAACGCCTGAAGTATGTGACCAATGTTTAGGTAACAGTTAGTCCTTCCTATCTGCAACCAAAAATGAAACGTCATTGCTTACGTGTATTTATCGTGACCCTCGATGACCCTCGTTATTGGAAATGGAAACCACTTTTCTCTGTCGAATTTCCGAGGCGGTTTTGCCGGATAAAGCTTATAAAGCACAAAGGCAGCACTGTTGAAGCAGCTATCATGCAAGGCAAAGAAAGAAAATATGCACATTGGACCTATAGCAAAGAATGCCCGAAATCTTGAAATTCGCTGTAAATTCAGCTGCAAAAATCAGCGCCTGTTTACTACGAATGCGAAGTTTCATCACATATATATTCTAGTGGTAGATTAACAACTATCCGTGTTAAATGTCAAGCCGTAACTCCGTTCTTGTGAAAATTAGTGCATCCTTCTTGACGTTTTTAACAGCGGCCTCTGAAGCAGACGACAAAGTCGCCTGAGAGCTGGCATTGCGGCGCCCTCCCCTGGTACGCGCCCGAAACCAGACGGCAGAGTCCCTGCTTTTGATTGCGTGTACAGGGTGTGTCGAAGGTACACGAAAAACGAACATGACCGAAATCCTTGGGGAGTATGTTGCTTCCGGTTGCCTAATCTTTTTTTTTTTCTTTTTTTTTTGTTTTTTTTGAAAGAACGCAGTGAGTAGCGCGTTTTAAAATGTCTCACCGCCGAGGACAATCTTTTTTCCTTAGTGCGCAAAAAAAGTTTTTGCCCATAACTCGTATCTATGATGCTGCCGTCAGTTTGGTACCTTCGGAATGTGGTGGTTAAAAATTACTCCTTTGCTCTCCTAGCCATCACCTACACCTCCACGCTGGCTGTAACGCAAAACTGCAATGGCGAGAAGTCTCAGTGTTCCCATTGTTGACTGTGGTTTGGTTTGTAAACCACAGTTACACAGTCATTTGTGGTTTGTAAACCACAAATGAACCACCATTCATGCCCTAATCCAACAAAAATCTACTAAGTTCGCGAATTAAAACAAGAATTACATCACAATGCTCTCCGAACATTAATGTCGACATTTTTTGCCTGTGATGTATTGCTAAGGCCAGGCGGCACCACGATCGCTTGATGGCATAATGATGCTGCTCTGCTTTGTTACTCCTAATAAAATAATGGATACTTTATGCCTCTCCTTGTTCATAATCTCGAGAAATTACTTGGTTAATTCGTGTTACTCACACCCATTGAAAATAAATTTCAATGAAATTAAATTATTACATACGCAGGCTCATAATTTTCTAAGAGAAAATAAGAGCACTGCAAATTAAGAAATCGTTCCTGTAGAATAACTCTATCGGCTGCGATCGAGCTTAGGTTACGTCTCTAAAGTGACATTTATCTAAATTGCGAAGAAATAAATTTCGGAATAATATTAGTTGGCATATTTCAATGAAAGATGTCCCCCATTGCACAAATATGCCTGACAGTCATTAGAAAAACAAAAATTCTGCTTGCCTTTATTATCTCTCAAATTTGAGAAGTGGGCAGTAGTGTCTCCAATTTAACATATTTTCCCCATAAACCGAGCAGTTTTTTAAGTTGTCTATTTTAAAAACAAAACATTACACAAAAGATCACTTAAAATGGGTATCTCCTGTTTCACCCAGGTCGCTTCCGTGCACAAAACAATGTCCACCGCATAATCATATTGTTACAAGGGGCGGCAATGTCTTTTGTCTTGCCGTATTTGCCCACGTACACCTCTACCGTTCAGATTGTTTGTGGGATATATGGTGGCAGTTCAGACCTTCAGTGACGAAATTCACATTCCTTGAAACATTTATTCAAGTGTATGTAGGTACCTCATCTGATCTCGCTGGCAGGTTTATTGGCCAGCTGAACTCGCAAAAAAAAAATATAAAGAGAATGGATTATTATTGTTATTAACTCTAAACTTTTTTTGTGAGTTCAGCTGGCTCTACTAAACATGTACAACCAACCCACTTGGAACTTCCAGGCGCCAATGTTGAAGTTTAATATCCTGTACTCCCCATCGTTTTGTCTGAATTCTTGCGCATAGTTCACTGGGCCCATTTCGCCTTGCAGACTGGGAAAACGAATTCATACATCCACTGAAAATCGACTAAAATCATGTTTTAATGTAGGCCACCGTAGTATCTCAATAGCATCGCAAGCGTTATCTTTTCTGAAAAACAAATTCTGTTAAGAATAAGATTTTTTTTTTTTTTAGTACAGCTGCGAGTGAGCGTTAAACAAGCAGAGTGAGCTCTGTTTCACACTGCCGGTTTCGCGCTTCACTTTTTCGCCAATTTTTCTATGCATCAACAATGAAAACTGTATGACTTTAGCTCACAAGTTATAATATTCACAATTGATGAATGTAAATTTGAGAACATTTTAGACAACCATAAACTTGCTAACATGACATGAAAACCTCCTAAAGCCGCCACGATGAGTCAGATAATTAACTAAATGAGTTAATTAACTAATGAAACAGTAAAAACAAAGATATAGCTTTAAATATAAATTTGATGATCATTAAATAACACCACTAGATGGGCAAACCTGAGAAAGATTTTGGGGGGCGTGGGGAGCGCGTTGGTGTGCTGAAGTTACATCCCCTGTATCAGGCTCAATACGAGTAAAGTGCAAACGCGAATAAGTGGCGGAAAAATCGCACGAGTTCGTTTTCGCACCACTATATCCTTGCGTCTGTTCTAACAAGTTGTTGTACTGTCAGTGTAATAGTTTGTCCTTTATTATGTGGTTTAACATTTGAAGTTGTGCTAAAAAAATAAAAAAATAAATAAAACTTTTAGTCAAAGGAACAGACACAGAAGGGGACATCTCCGTGTCTATTCCTTCGACTAAAAGTTTTTCGTTTTTTTTTTCATATTTTGCACCACATTATTAGGTGTTAAACGACATGATTAGTTACCATCAGCTAGCCTGTGCACTTCCAGCCTTTTCACTAACTGTCCTTTATCTTTCGCGCTAACTGCAATTTAGTGGCGCGTGTTGCTTCAGTAGCACATTTAGCACCTCGCCGCGCTTACCGCGCACGCCAAATCTTTCTCGAATTTACTTAGTTAGTGGCTTTCGATTACGCTTCGCACGTTTGTGATTGTAACGGTATCATTATCTTCAATAATTAAGATAGTTAACAATTGTTAGTGATGATGCGACCAATGATGCGACCATTATTCACCGATATTTTCGCTCCTCTGACCGTATAGCTCACCTGCCCGGACCGCACTAGTGTAGCGTCGGCGGTTTTTGTTAAAAGAAACCTGTAAATCTTGAAAACACCCGGTACCTATCTCAGCAGGATGCTTAATTTTAATTATAAATAGAAACATGACTGAGTTTCACTGGTGTCTATTTTATCGTGTATAACAGGCTCGGTAGACATTATTGAGAGAAAAACCATCACGATACGATGACGAATTAAGTAAAACTTGTCCAGTAACTACTTCATCGTTGGTTTTATGCGTCATGTTCTGAATGCAATAGTGATGGCAGTTACGAATAGTGTCGAGAGAAATTGAAGCAATATTCAATATGCTAATGGCCTCTAATGTATTAATGTTGTCGCGTTTCTTTTTCCACCTGATTCTGATATTAGGAGAAGAAAAAAACTCCGAAAGTTCTGTCAACAATGAGAAACAAAAATGCGACGTAGCGGTTTCACGCAGCTAGTCATTAGTGAGTTTCAGTACTGCGTATACGAGCAAACGCAAGCACTGTGCGTTTGCGTTAGCGCTGCGTTCTCCACGCTGCGCATGCGCGAAGTCATCATGCGCCAATTGAAGGCCGCAGTTTTGGCTCCGCGTGCGTTGTTGCCTGTTGTCGCTTGCCTATGTTGTTATCGCTGGCCCGTCCGCCCAGCGTCATGACCACGTGATGTTCCCGGCAGTGTATATTATCGGCCCGCTCAATAAACGGAGGCTTTTTGGTTCCTTCATGACCTAGAGCGCAATTCGTCGTCTGACCTCTTTCCGGCACGCATACGCCTTGTATGCGGTATCGCTACATGGTGTCAGAAGTGGGATAGTTCCTGGCCGACGCACCAAGTAGAGCGAATGGTCCAGACGGTTAAGCATTCTCCTGTTTCGGCGGAGATCAACGCCGTCGTCTGTCCGCACCACATATGACCGCGGTTTCGGTGCCGGTGCAAGGACTGTGACCTTGGACTGCATGTCTGTCACCCAGACCGGGTCACCTGCTTCCGGCTGTGGAAGCCGTCTGGCCCGATGACGTCTGTTGTAGTAGCGGCACTGCTGCCTCCTAACCTTCTGGTCGCTGGCCACTACTTCTTTCGGGCGGCTTTCTCCCGGATTTCGATGACGTGGCAGCATTGGGACCCTGGTCCTCAGTCGCGTACCCATAAGTATTTCAGCAGGGCTGACCCCAAGAATGCCGGGCGTTGCCCTGTAAGCCAACAGTGCCAGGTAAGTGTCTTTGGACTTTAAAACGAGACGCGTAGCCGTCTGGACCATTCGCTCTACTTCTCCGTTCCCCTGCGGGTCCCCGCAGGGGGCACCTGTGGAAGCATGTGTTTGGAGAGTGGCGTCTCCACGGACCCCGAGCCATGCGGGTTCGCCCGCCCACGTCTGACTGTGCGTGGCTTTCCCGTGTCTGGGGAAAAGGGCATCCTGGTGGTTGAGCCGAACCCGGGGCAGGGTTGGACCCTTCGGGGCCCCCCGGGCAAGGCAATACACCACTTCGGCCCCCGCTTCTCATAGACGGGAGTCCTGGTAAGGCCCGGCCAGGATGATTCAGTCTAGTCGCCTTTTCTTCTACTATCCCCTCCGATCTTTCGCTTTTACCTTTCCTGTTTCTTTCACTTACTTCTCATATCTTTTGCTCCTTTTTCACCCCTCTTTGGCGGCAAGGGCTAACCATGGGTGGCAATAGACCTCTGTCTTGACCCACACTTGGGTATAGTTTCCCGGCAGCACTGTTAGTGTAACGTCTCCAGCCAAGCCCTTCTTGTTATGGTGCGTTACCTAACCCCTTGTTGGGCTCGGTGGTGGGCGGTGCACCGCGGATTCCGAACACTCTTTGCCCTTTTATGGCGCGCCACCCCTCCAAACCCCGTTCAGGGCACGCCCTTAAAAGGCGCTGCCCCGAACTAAAGACCATCGACAAAGAATGTGAAGTAGAAACATTTACTAAGTTTTTCATCGTTCATTCGCTGGATGAACAGAA